CTGTCACGCTGCAGCCACCACCACTTTATTTTATTTATTTTTTGCACCTTCATGCACCTCAACACTCGGGCTGGGAGATATGGGGAAGAAAGGATCATGATTCTTTTCCGCATAAAATCTGTAGAGGCTGAGAAATTCACATTTAAAGGCTGGAATTGTACATTATATTAAACCTAAAAGCATGCGCACATTAGTCAGCGGGTTAAGCACATACACACGTCTGCTCAATGAGGTCTTAAGTTTCTCGCTTAAACAGTGAGAAAATTGTCGTTTACTTTGCGTAGCTTGAATTATAATGAATAAGAAGCAACAGAGGAAAGAAAGAGGAGAAAAGGTGAGCAGCTGGATCAGAGACAGAGAGGAGGAGGAGTGGAGCAGACGCCCACACACAGGCAGAGGGAGAGAGACTGGACTTTTAGTCAAATTTAGCTTTTTAAAAGGACAGGCTGTGGCTCAGGCTGCTTTTTTATTACTGTATTTTATAGCAACGGTACCTACGCCGCCATGACACCGGGCACACTATGTCATTGACTTCAGCAGCATTGGAGAAACATGGGCAGGTTTTGTTGTGTATTTGGTTGTTCTAGATCAGGGGTGTCAAACTCATTTTGGTCCGGGGGCCGTATCCAACTGACTTTGATCCCAAAGGGGCCGGATCAGAAAACTCATGTCATATAAACCCCAAAAATAACAATAAGTTCAAATATTTGTGCAGAGAAACACAAATCTATGACAGAAATCTTTTTTAATTGATGGACTCTTTCTTTTACAAAATATTATAATATTATGAACAACCTGAAACTTTAAGAAAAATACAATTTCAACACAATGTTTTAACATGAACTTGTTTAACATTAACTTGTATAAATAGGAGTAAGTAAATTTTTTTGTTGTAAAATCCTGCACTCGGCTCCACTTTTCTCATGTTGGACATTTTTCTGATGAGGGTGTCACGGTCAACAGTCAAAACGATCGTCCTTTAAGAGCGTTTGGAAAGAGACAAGTCTTCATTTGTGCTGCTCTGGTGGGAGGGGCCACGTACAGAGACGCTGGAGACGCTGCTGTGATAAACACCACAGAAAATTAACAAGATTTTAATAAAAAATAGAATTTAAATATTTTAGTAGAAAATCAGCCGAGGGCCAGATGAAAGGTCTTGGAGGGCTGGATCTGGCCCCCGGGCCGCATGTTTGACACCTGTGTTCTAGACGCTCTGAACGGGATAAAACGAATCGTTTCTTCACTGTTTCTCTGGAAATTACTCATCAGGAGCTCAAACAAGGGAATTATAAAAAACGCGGATTATAGCAGCAAAAATAAACCACGAAGAGATTTCCAATGTTACTATCAAGTAGGTCTGGGTATCATTAAGAAGTTGCCGATATGATACATACCTCGATACACAGGCCACGATACGATACATATCTCGATACAGTGCACTTTGGATTCGATATGATATATTTCAAATTGATTCGATACGGTTCAGTAAAAAATAAAGTCTAAATCGTGGCTGTGATACTAAAAGTCTTTGTTAAACCACTTCTTGTGCAAAGTTCATATGAAACACAAACATTTTAATCATCAAAACAGTAAAAATATCAAATGTGTCGCATAAATTAGTTTCCTTTCACTCCACAAACAACAAAACTGTAGCTCTGTAACAATATAATTTAGTAAAACACACCTAAAAATACTCTTGCTGATATATCGATACAGTAGCCCACGATATCGATACTGTATCATCACATTAAACGATACGATATATCGATATTCCGATATTTTTGCACACCCCTACCATCAAGACACCCGAAGTTTCATCAAGGTATTTGTTATTTAAATTGTTTCATAGTTTATTTAATGAAAAAGCACATTTACTGAACTAAAATTTCATAAATTTATCCAGGAAAACCCGCACTAGTTTACGATTCAGCGAACCCACACTTGACGCACGAGTCAAAATCCTCATCAGGACAACGCCCTCTCCCTGCCACACGACCGGGTGTTGACCAGTCGATTAAAACACACTCGCCATATCGAGATCGACTGAAGAGATCAAGATTTATCTGTCGTTCTATTTTTGCCACAGCCCTATTCATCACTTAAATACACAGAGCGTTATCTCACAGACTATCATCCTCACACACGCACACACACGACTCACATGCACCGACAAAAGAAACATAATCACTGTTATTTTTGTTAATAAAAGCCCTGAACAACGGTTAAAACTCATCATGAGATTTTTACAAAATTTGACCCAGATAAAGCTGAAGTGAAGGAGCCTGAGTTCATCGGCCTAATGTTTTCCCAACCGCACTTTTGTCATTTTGCATCAGTGGATATGCAAGCAAATGTTTATTGTTGACAGTATATTTTTTCAATCAGTTTAATGTTGGGATTATGATTAGTTTTAGTAGTAGCAGTAGTTTTATTTGGTCATTTTGCAGCACTATGAAACAAAACAAAAAACAAGCACAGTCAGAGACATCAACCTGGTCCCATGAGGCGTCGGTGGGTCAGTTCATCAGCACAGAAGCAGTTTATGAGGAGTCCAGCCCATATCACATGATCATTATATCCACAATATAATGTGTGTATGTGTACAGGCCCATGAACATTTGTGTGATGTTGGTCACACATGAGACCGTCTGTGTTTACTAGTGTGGAACCAAAATATCATTTTTCATGAGTTGTGTATGTGTTCGTTGTGTTTCACCAGAAAAACAAGAAATGGAAATTATTTTAGTTCCAATTAGAATTTTAACAGCTACAGTGAAAGAGAAAGGAACTGTTATAAATAGTGATTATCTGGAAAACTATTAATATTTGATGATACAAATGCATAGAATTATAAATAGATAATAATTTTTCTGAGGTTCTGAGCCACTCCCGTTGCTCGAGCTCGATCCTTCGCGGAGTTATGACCAAAAACGCATATTTGACCTTGATTACCTTTATCTTCAAGTGACCTTGACCGGTTTCAACCTGTAACATCCAGTGTACTCCAGTTATGTGTGTGCCAACTTGTGTGATGATTGGCTGAATATTTTAGGCCGCAGATGGTTAGGAATTTGCCGAAATTGCCGATCCTTTATAACCGCATGACCTTTCAATTGACCCGTGTGACCTCAAATGACCTCGGATCATCACCAAACTTTTTTTTTTGCGGCATCGGGCATGGGAACTTGAACCACGTACTAAATTTGGTGACAATCGGTCCATAAATGCCGGAATTATTGCGGGTGGACACACAGACACACACAGGGTGAATACAAAACCTGGTCAACCCTTCGTGGACCAAGTCACAAAACTTGGACTACAACCCCATCGATCACGACCGAAAGGCTTTAGGCTAAAGTAAAAAGTACGTGTAACGCCAAAACCTTTTAAACAATGACAGAATTCCAAGAAAGAAAACTTACTGTATAGTTTTAGGACTTTTACTGACACATATTAGAGCAGTTGAGTTTTTAAAAAGCTTTAAAATCCACCAAAATGCAGGAAATTACACCAAATTTCGACTGAATTTCTTGGAGGATGACTCCCAAACCCCCGTCCATCGTTTTCATCTTACTTACATACTTGGAGGTTGTGTTATAAGTGCGCTCACAGACTCACGAGTTCCACTGAAACACAGAGAATGAGTCATGAGTGAACATTTACTTGTTTGTTTATTGTCTGTGTATGATCGGTTTCGCGTGTGTCGTCCGTCGAAGTTGAGTTCAACCGGAAAATAAAAAAAAAAAAAAAAAAAAAGTAAAGTGTTGGTTTTGTTTGGTTTATAATTAATTTGCAGTAATTCTGGACATCGGGTTTACAGTCGTCCCTCGATCTTTCGCGGTCTCGCTGTTTCGCTGATTTTTTTGCCTGGTTTACTCCTGGTTTAGTCCTGGTTTATTCCGCTTCAGTCCTGGTTTAGTCCTGGTTTAGTCCTCCTGTTTCAGTCCTGGAATCACTCCTAGGTTAGTCCTAGTTCAGTTCTAGTTTAGTCCTAGTTCAGTTCTGGTTTAGTCCTCTTCAGTCCTGGAGTCAGTCCTGGAATCAGTCCTGGAAACAGTCCTGGAATCAGTGCTGGGTTAGTCCTGGTTTACTGCTTTTTTAGTCCCATTTTAGTCCTAGTTCAGTCCTGGTTTAGTCCTGTTTTAGTCCTGGAATCAGTCCTAGGTTAGTAATGTTTTAGTCCTAGTTCAGTCCTGGTTTAGTCTTGGGTTAGTCCTGGTTTAGTCTTGGGTTAGTCCTGGTTTAGTCTTGGGTTAGTCCTGGTTTAGTCTTGGGTTAGTTCTGGTTTCGTCCTAGTTCAGGCCTGGGTTAGTCCTCTTCAGTCCTGGAATCAGTCCTGGTTTAGTCCTGGTTTAGTCCACTTCAGTTCTGGAATCAGTCCTGGTCTAGTCCTGGTTTAGTCCTCCTGTTTCAGTCCTGGAATCAGTCCTGGTTTAGTCCTGGTTTAGTCCTGGTTTAGTCCTGGTTTAGTCGTGGGCTAGTCCTAGTTCACTCTGTGGCGTAGGCAGCGCAAAAGTTTGATATAATCTCAGGTTAATGGGCGGGTGCGGACGGGTGTGGTCCTGTCCTGCGCGGGTGGGGGTCTCCAAAAATGGACCCGTGCAGGACTCTGCGCTGTCGGGCTCCATTACGGAATAAATGAATCTTCGGTTCGTTACATAAAGGAGGAGGAAAATAACAAAAGGACGACAGCAGCAAGAAGTTTTAAAAAGAATGTAAAAAGTGTTCCTCCTCTCCTGTGTGAGAAAAGTGTATAAAGTGTTTGCTGAAGAGTTTTACAGACTTAAAACAGATATAATAATTGTAAAAAATAAAGTTGACTACTTCACAGATTTCATCTATCGCGGGTTATTTTTTAGAACCTAACCCCCGCGATAAATGAGGGCACACTGTACCTTTATCAAAACTGTAAAAATAAAAAGAGCAAAAATGTTTTTAAGCAAACTGTGGGAACCCTGGCAAGGTCTAATCATATTTTCGTTTGATTCTTTCTGTTGCAGGACGACCATCTTGGTGACGGGAGCATTTTTAGACGCGTTTCAGAAAGTGGCCGACATGGCGACTGGAACGAGAGGTAAGACACCGAGCAAAGTCCAGCCAGAAAAGCTCCAAAACTTCCGATCTTTTGCGATGTTCCTTGTCTGGAGTGGCCAAGCACATTAATACGTAACATTTCAGCTCTTGTTTTGTAAGAAGTAGGAGTAGGAGTGTCCAAAAATATAGAAATATCAATATATCCTGATACGACATTTGGTGATTCAGAATCGTTATCGTGGGCAGCTGTATCGATATATCGGCAAGAGTATTTTTGGCAATTTTGTAGCTTATTTAGTGGAATTAAACTTGACATATTCACAGTTTTGATGATTAAAATCAATGTTTATCATATTAACTTTGCAGAGGTGGTGGTTTGACAAAGAAATATTGTTGCTAAAATGTACTTTGTTCTTTAAAAAACGCTATATATCAGAGTATCGTGTGTGATATATTGATTGTCGCATGGATTTCCATATTGTGATAATATCGTACAGTGGGCCGTGTATCGAGTATCGTGATTCCCAGCTCTAGTCCAACCACAGAAGCTCCAAAACTTCCGATCTTTTTGCTTATTCCTTGTTTGAAGTGGTGAGTATTAGAGATTGATAAAGCTTTTTTTCATGGTCGATGTTGATACCAGTTATTTAGAATCCCGAGCAAGTGATGTCCAGTAAGCTTTGCAGATATTTTTGGACCGATTTCGATTATTTTCCTCAAATTATGTACCGTATTTTTCAGTCTATAAGTCCTGATATCAGTAATGTTGAATTTTCTCATCTATTTTCATACATAAGTTGCACCTGATTATAAGGAGCATTAAGTGAAACAAACGGACGACACTTGAGACTGATCCTTTAGTCCAGGCGCATTCCATCAGCAGATCGTGGCGTAATTCGCTCGGCGTTGCCTCTCTGTCTTGGTGAATGTGTAGTCTGATTCATCAGCTGGTTTCACTTCGTAGAACCTCGCAGCGTTAGAATTCGTTCGCTCGACGGTAGACCGGTACTTTTTATCATTTAACCAATCGCTGCTATTTGGTCGTGACTTATGTAATGCGCCACTAATGGGCCTAACCTTTCCCAAATCCTGTAGGAAGAAGGACAATAACGTCTTTCACCTTGATAAAATTCACCAAACATTCTCTTCGTTCCGGCTTTAAATCCTCGATCTCGGAAATTGTTGACAACACAGAATATATGGCTCTTTGCTGATTGGCTGGTGCCCGAACTCGTACTTCTGGGGTTTTTGCGAACCGTCTAGTGTATTTCGATTCCTGACCTAGTCGCTGGAGAGAAATAAAATTGAGTTGAATGTCTGTTGTAAATGTGAATGTGGGTGGATCATTTAAGTTAGTTTTTTTTATTTCCTACGAGGACGACTCAAATATACATTGAGTAATAATGTGTTTAAAGCAGCTTTGCGCACATTTGTTTACGTTTTACAGAAACTAAACTTAAAACCACATGGCTCATTTGCATAAACTATAAGCACTGAAAAAACAGCTCACTCCTTGTGCTGCTGATGCGGTTCAGCTTCCGTCGGACTAAACGACACGACTCATGACGACATTTTGACAGATTTTTGAGCGCCGTGTACCACATAAAATCGGTTTGAGGTCAATAAGGACAACCAGAATGAATTCATAAGGCGCACTGTTGACTTTTGAGAAAATGAAAGGATTTTAAGTGCGCCTTATAGTCCAAAAAATACGATAATTTATAGGTACTTTGTCATTTTTCTTGTGAAGAATCCATCACCTGTTTTTTTCTATGGATATGTCGTTGCTCTGCCTGGAATGTTCCAAGTATTAACAATTAAATTAAACAACTGAACAGTTTTACGTTACATTTATTCAATTACAGTCAGTTTATAGCTCAAAAATACTTAGAAAAAGACAGAAATACCAAACTGTCTCCACTGAGAAAAGCATTTGATGGACCCTCCACCTAAAAAGTTGCACAATCCACCTTTCACAATCAGTACAAACTTGCCCACAGCCCGTTTCTTTCCTTCTTTTATTCATGTTTTGTGCAGTTATCTCTTCACATTCAAGAGTTCAAACAAAGCTTTATGTCTTAGGCAGCAAGTCGACCAAAACAAAAATTTCGGCGTGCGCTGGATGCGGAGTTTTGCGAGCGATGCATTTGAAAAGCTTTTATCGTCTCCGCGCTAAACTCCTCTTGTGGTTGATGTGTGCGCTGATAACTGTTACCAAACTGACGTGTGAGTGTTTATCAGAGTGTGAGGAGTGAAGCGGGGGCCTTTCTTGGCTTTTACGGGGATAGAAATAAAGTCTCTGTGGCATTAATCCTTTAGGTCCTGGATCAGCGTTCCCAAACGGCGTGGAAACTGCATGAGTGTGTGTATGTGTGCGTGTTTGTGTGCGAGTGTGTGCGCATGAGTGTTCGTGTGTGTATGTTTGGTATGTTGGTGGTGGTTAAGTATGAGCAGGAGTTAGATTAAGAGGAAGCTCCCCGTGTGAATCAGAGCCGCTCCCAAAGTCCGACCTGCTCCGTCACGCCTCAGTCACTGTAACAGTAAACAGCCCCATCAACAACTACAGTACAAGAATAAAACAACTACAATACAAGTATAAAACAACTACAATACAAGTATAAAACAACTACTACAGTACAAGAGCAAAACAACTACAATACAAGAATAAAACAACTACAAGAACAAAACAACTACATAAGAATAAAAACAACTACAGTACAAGAATAAAACAACTACAATACAAGTATAAAACAACTACTACAGTACAAGTAAAAACAACTACTACATACAAGTATAAAACAACTACTACAGTACAAGTATAAAACAACTACTACAGTACAAGTATAAAAACAACTACTACAGTACAAGTAAAACAAAACAACTACAGTACAAGAATAAAACAACTACTACAGTACAAGAATAAAACAACTACAATACAAGTATAAAACAACTACTACAGTACAAGTATAAAACAACTACAATACAAGAATAAAACAACTACAGTACAAGAATAAAACAACTACAAGAATAAAACAACTACAGTACAAGAACAAAACAACTACAGTATAAGTAGAGACCAGCTGGGCCTGGTCAAGCAGAAGTAAACAACAAGGCCAAAAATTCAAGTTAATACATCTGATATAAAAATGTATTGAACAGATACATATGTACTCTAGTTTATGAAACTGTTGACCTTTTTTCTGTACCATTTTTGGTTCTAAAGTTACATATGTTTTAAACAGACCATGTATGAAACATGGAACAAAAATTATTTCCCAAATTTCAAAGACCTGCAAATCATGTAAATTAATGGATGTATTTCATCATATCTTGTGTTATTCCATCTTTGAACTGTTGATGAAGGTACATGATTTTTTATTTTATTTTATTTTTTCAATTTATTTAAAATGATAAAAATTTGCTTTGAAGGACTGACATCTTTTATAGAAATAGTTTCTTTTCATTTTGAAGTAATATTAAAGTATTCAGAAGAAAAAAGTTGACAAATTATGTAAAATCCTGCACCTTCTACTTGTTTGTACAATTTTCCCTCCGTTACTTTTCCCTCCGTTACCATGACCTTTCTTAATAAAAAAATCTCATTACTCAAAGAGTAAGACGTTTTTCAACCTAATCTTGTTCCATATGGTAGAAAACTATATGAAGCAAATATTCAAACCAGTTTGTTAAGGATATGTAAGTGAGAACCAAGAGTTATCACTGTTTGGATTTATTGCCCAAAAAGTGCTGCATATTTCATTCCCTCCGTTACCGACATGAGTTTTTAAATTTTTTGTCAACAACTTGAAAGAATATCACAGGTTTAACTTGACCCTGTTGGAGTGTAACTCTTTCCTACATTCTGATACTTTACTTATTTCAATAGTTCCTCTAGTTTCTGAATAAGAGACATTTGAATGTCAAAAATCTGCCCCGTTTCCCTCCGTTACCACTTGACCAGACCCAGTTACTACTGTACAAGAACATTTACTGTACAGGCATTGACAACTACAAAGGACTAAGAAACCTCAATGTCTAAAGAGAATTATCAGTGACGTTTTAGTTCACAAACCAAATTCAGACTCTTTATAATGTGTTAATACTGTTCACATTAGAGCGTTTATGGTGTACAGATTGGCTGCTTCGCTTCTAAATTGTTCAAATTGTAAAGTAACTTCTGCTTCTCGAGTTAGCGCCAACGTTTTAGTTTTACCGCTTCTAAGAACAAAACACTCGAATAATTGATGTTCTTCATGTGGTTCCTGTTGTGTTTGACTTAACTGTGAATCACACACAAAGGCCCAAACACACTGGCAGTTTGTGTGTGTGTGTGTGTGTGTGTGTTTGTGAAACCACAGTTGTGTGTCGCTGTGTGGACGGTCACACTGACTCTGTTCGAACGTGCGTGCGTACGGACACTTTAACAGATTTACAATGAAAATAACAAAGTGAATAGGCTTAATTAATTAATCTCTGGATTTATACAGCGCCTTTCACGACACCCAGAGCCTTTACAGCATTATTCACTCACTCCACTCTGTGGGGCTGAGTTACTATTGTTCACACAGCCGCCCTGGGGCAGACTGACGGAAACGAGGCTGCTAATCTGCGGCATCTGACCACCTTCAACACTTACAGACACTCACACACACTCACACTAAGCAAATGTGGGTGAAGTGTCTTGCCTAAGGACACAATGAGTGCGTATACATGCACATCAGTATCCCGGTTATTAGCCATATCCCGGTTATGTCAGTGTTCGTTACTGTGTTTACATGAGCACTGAGAAACCGGGACACTCATATCCGCGTGTACATGATCAAATGGAGTATCCCGGTTTCTTGACATAATCTTACAAATGCGCAGGCGCAAAAATTAACTTTAATCAATTTCATAAACCAGGAAAAATACAAACCGTGAGCTCCTTTAGCATAAGAAGCTAAGGAGCTACGAGATCTCCCACAATCCACTGTGCAGATTCTTCATTAAAATCTTCTGCATAAATAAACTCAACTTTACAACATATAAACCATAAACACT